TTACAGGCGTGAGCCACCGCGCCTGGCCACTTTCTAAGATAGTGTTCAAAAAATTTCTAGGCATTTAAAAGCCTATATACATACATGTATTGTTCTCTACCTTTACATTTCCCTTCTATTTCTATTTTTTTTTTTAGCAATTTCATATGCTTGACTCCTCTGTCTTTTGACCCAATATGTTCCCATTCTGCCTTTTAATTTTTTTTTCTTCTCTGCTTCCACATGTTTTCTCCAGGATAGGATTTCTCAGCATTTTCACTATTGACATTTTGGGCTGGATAATCCTTTGTTGTGGAGGAGCTCTCCTGGGCATTGCAGAGGTTAGGAAGAATCCCTGGCCTCTGCTCATCAGATATCGGTAGCATTCCGCAGTTTAGACAACTGACTTTCTTTGCCCAGATCCAAAATCTGGGCAAAGAAAAATCTGGAAAGAATTCAGCATTCTAGATGCCATTAAAACATGTTTCATGGAAGGAGATCAAAATATTAACATTATCAGGAGTCTGGAAGAAGTTGATTCTGACTTCTATGACTGACAGGTTCAAAATTTCAGTGAAGGAGGTAACTGTGGATGGGGTAGAAACAGCAAGAGCACTTGAATTAGAAGTGAACCCTGAAGATGTGACTGGATTGCTGCTCTCTCATGGTCAAATTTAAATGGATGGGGAGTTGCTTCTTATGGATGAATAAAGTGGTTTCTTGAGACGAGATCCAGCCCAGTGAAGATGTCTGAACATTGTTGAAAGGACAACAAAGGACTTAAACTATTTCAGAAATGTAATTGATAAAGCAGTGGAAGGGTTTGAGAAGACTGACTCCAATTTTGAAAGAAGTTGTACTGTGGGTAAAATGCTATCTAACAGCATGGCACAATACGAGAAATCTTTCATGAAAAGAAGAGTACAGGATGCAGCAAACTTCATTGGTTATGGTTTCTTTAAGAAATTGCTACAGCCACTTCATCCTTCAGCAAACACCACCCTGATCCATTAGAAACCATCAATATCAAGGCAAGATTCTCCACCAACAAAAACCTTATGATTCGTTGAAGGCTCAGATGATCATTAGTATTTTTCATCAATAAAGTATTTTTACATTAAGTAAGACACATGCCTTACTTTTTCAGACATAATATCTTTGTACCTTTAAAAGGCTACAGCACAGTAGCCTTGAAACAAAAATTCATGTGACTCATTTTATTGCAATATTCACTTTAGTGCAGTGGTTTGAAGCCAAACCTGTAATATATTGAGGTAAGCCTTCATATATCCTAAACACCATGAGATTCTCATTAAAGTAGAAGCCAAATGCATGCAAATGTTTTTCCTGGGTATACATGGAGGATACTAAGAGTCATAGACACTAATCATCAAGGTTATCATATTATTTGGAGAGGAAAAAATCTAGACATATGATAGAAAATATATATGAGGCCAAAAAACATGAAAAAATGCTCATCATCACTGGTCATTAGAGAAATGCAAATCAAAACCACATTGAGATATCATCTCATGCCAGTCAGAATGGCGATCATTAAAAAATCTGGAGACAACAGATGCTGGAGAGGATGTGGAAAAATAGGAACACTTGTACACTATTGGTGGGAATGTAAATTAGTTCAACCACTGTGGAAGACAGTGTGGCGATTTCTCAAGGATCTAGAAACAGAAATTCCATTTGACCCACCAATCCTATTACTGGGCATATACCCAAAGAACTATAAATCGTTCTACTATGAAGTCACATGCACACGTATGTTCATTGCAGCCCTGTGTATAATAGCAAAAACCTGGAACCAACCCAAATGCCCATGAATGATAGACTGGACAAAGAAAATGTGGTACATATACACCATGGAATACTATGCAGCCATAAAAAACGATGAGTTTGTGTCCTTTGTAGGGACTTGGATGAATCTGGAAACCATCATTCTCAGCAAAGACACGAGAACAGAAAGCCAAACACTGCATGTTCTCACTCATAGGTGGGTGTTGAACGAGAACAGGTGGACTCAGGGAGAGAAGCATCACACACTGGGCAGTTGGGGGGGAAGAGGAGAGACAGCGGTGGATGGGGAGGGAGGGGAGGGTGGGTAGGGATAACATGGGGAGAAATGTCAGATATAGTATGCACCTAAAGTTAAATAAATTAATTTTAAAAATAAAAAGAAAAAAAAGAAAATGATACCAACTTTACAAAGCAGGGCATATGGTGCTCAAATAAATGATGAAGAGATAAATGTTACATAATTTAGAGGAAATAAGGAGGCAAGTTTTATAATTATAACAATAGTTTTTGAATGAATGATTCATAAATTAATGTGTGTGTGCATGCTATGGGGAATGTAAGGATATATTGGTTAGGGTGGATGGCAAGCAGGAGTTGTCAAGACTCCAGCAAAACTAATAATGTAATAATCAAAGAATTCCCGCTGAAAGACTGGGAAGTTTGCTTTAGATCTTTCATCAAGTGATCCTGAAAACCTAAATGGGGCCTTATTTGAGAACGGCAAATCCTGGATTTCTTATATATGTTTAAGGGGACAAGTGGTCCTTAGACCATATGTAATGTGGGTCCAAAGGAACCTCTTGTCTTCTCCTCATCCTTTTTACCCTTCAGTGAACAGTTGCTGTGTGCCAACTATATGTTAGTTCTTTACAAGGTACCAGGAATGCAACTGTGAGTAGGACAGAGAGAAGGATTCGATTCTCATGGAGCTTTTGATCAAACAAACAGATACTTAGCATATAGAGTATATTAATTCTCTGGAAGATTCTAGTGTTATTTCAAATCTCCAAACTATCTGTATTCATAAGTGACTTTTATGGTCTATTGTGTCTGTGTCTGTGTATAGTAAAGGCAATTACATATTACCTTATAAACCTTCCAAATATGTTAGAAATTATAAGCTACACTGACCACAACGATTGATTTGCCACTGCACTGCTACTCCCTCAGGACTGAGAGGCAGCAGATATTCTATTTGTTTGAAATAACTGCTTAGATGTTTGGGTGAGACAGTGAGGAATCACTAATCAAACTGAAAATAGAGCCACGTTAAGAAAGCAGAATGTAATTATCCAGTTGGAATTTGGCCAGTGTGGTAAGACAGTTCAGTTCCTAAAGAAGAGAGAATCACAATGTTAAACTATGCAAATCTTCAGCCATGAATATGTTTCTGACTCAGTTGCAGATACCACATTATTTTTTGAATCTCTACCAGTCCTACATTCTTGATAACCCCATTGAAGAGTGCAGAGCCCTAGGAGCTTGGATATAAGCCATGAAAACATTTAGTCAGGGAAAGCTCATTTCTCTTATGTGGACAGGAACATTTCTATAGTAGACATTTAGAAAAGCTCTATTAGTGTTTAAGGCTGTAAGCTCTCTGAGCAAGGGCTAGAAGTTGTACCAAATACATTAGTATCAACTCATTGCTAGAAGCTGAGTGCTGTTTAGAAAACAACACGCTCAATCCTAAATCTGGGAGGAAAACGCTTTCTTGATCACAGACTCCTTGAGAATTTCTTGAAAGAACTTTCTCTCTCCCACACCTACATGTATATGTGCACATACATTATGTGTACATATTTGTATACAATTTCAAGGGTTGGAGGGCATCAGCTTCCCTGAATTCAATCTATGGACCCTCACATTCCACATGTAGAAGCTATGGTTCGGTCAGCTTGATTTTCTATAGGCTGCTGCTTCAGGATAAGAAAACTAAATTCTCTCCTTTAGCAGGTGAACTGCTAAGGAATCTTCTATCATTCTCAGAGCTATTTGGAAATTTGGATTAAATAATTTGCATATAAAGAGGCCTTACATGTTGAGTTTCTTTTATCTTAATATATATCTATCTCATCAGAAAACAGATTGTATTTTATTTTCTCTTCTAAGGAAATGATAAAAATCATCATTATATAACTTATTTACTCAGCCTTAAACTCATTGTTGCCTTTTTCTGATGGCAAATTTCATGGGGTTAACTACTTAAAAATACTTCCAAAAGTATTTTACAAATTATAAATGCTTTAACATTATTAATATTTTGTGATTTTTTTTTACTCTGAAAAAATTAGGGTATTTGAATCAAATAATTCAATTGGATTTTTTTTCTTGCAATATTTAAAATAAATTACTAGAGACTCCAATGTGCCAGGTATACTTTGAAGTTACTTCTTTAAAACAACTGTTTATTTATTTTTTATTTTTATTTTTGAGACAGAGTTTCACTGTTGTTACCCAGGTTGGAGTGCAATGGTGCAATCTCGGATCACTGCAACCTCTGCCTCCTGGGTCCAAGTGATTCTTCTGCCTCAGCATCCTGAGTTGCTGGGATAACAGGCACCTGCCAGCATGCATGGCTAGTTTTTTGTATTTTTAGTAGAGACGGAGTTTCACCATGTTGACCAGGCTGGCCTTAAACTCCTGACCTCAGGTGATCCACTCACCTAAGCCTCTTAAAGTGCTGGGATTGGGATTACAGGCATGAGCCACCATGCCAGCCCACTGTTTTTTTTTTTTTTCAATCAAAGGATTAGAACATATTTATACCATCTCACTGGGTATTCTTTATTTTTTAAAAAGACCTTTGGTCTAGCTCCACAGCAGGCACTCATTTATCTTCTTTCTTTCTTACATGATTTACTACAATGGGACATATTGACATAGTCAAACAAAATATGTATTGATTATCTACTCTAAAGGCATTATGTCAGATGGGATGAGGAATCCAAAGTTGTATAAGACAAGTCTCCCAGAGAATATAATCTGTTATCAAAGATAAGACATGAACCAGATAATATAAACTTAATATTATGACTATATTTATAGTTTTGCCTGTAGAGGTTAAATATATTTCATGCTAGATTTCTTTGGCAAGTGGTAACTACATTTTACCTCAGAACTCCATACTAAATAGAGGATTTAACATCATCGTTATTTAAAAAAAACCTCTTATGGAATAACATTTTTAAAAATTTGTGTTTATTTCTTACCAGACAGGCCTGTCAAATTTGCATCTTTGATAAAAATTTCAGTTATTCCAAGAGCCTTCAAAACATCTTTTAAATCAATTTCCTGTTCCACTGTGAACCTGGAAAATACATGGGGAGAAAAATATTTAGTTACAGCATATTGTTACCTGGGACAAGAATAAAATGTTATATATGCGGATTTTGAAGTCTGCTTTATGGAGAGTAAATTATACTAAAACTGGCTTTTGAACTGCAACTAGTATCTGATTGAACATGGAAAAGAGACGGCATCAAAGGATGATGTAACAATATAGAATTTAAACTCATAAGTAGGAAAATACATGATACAGACACAAAATTTTAATATATGGTACAATAAATGAGTTTTGAGATCAAGTATCATTACCATATGATTACTTAGTATCATAGTACTGAGTAAAACTTGAGTAGCTTTCAAAATCCTTTGACCTAGTAGTTGTATATTTATTATTGTTTTTAAGCTGGAGATGACTAATCACACATTTACCTTGGCTATTTCATTCTCTTCTTAGTATCCTGGTCAATTTATATTCCTTACCCTCCACCAATCTGTGACTCCTACCCGCATCAATACCATGGACAAGGTTAAATTAGAGCCAAATTCTGTTTTACAATGAATACATTTAGCATTTCAGCTCCCTACAAGTCAGAGAAAGCGAACATAAAACCCACTACATTAAAAAATGTATTTTCATGGCTATAGTCATCTCTAAAACATAAGCCTCTTCCCATGGTATCAACACAAAAAAACTATTACTCAATGGATAGTGAGTTAAATATTATATCTTAAAAACTATGTGCTTTTACACTGAAGATTTTTTTTATTTTAAGTTCTGGGATAGGTGTGCAGAAGATGAAGGCTTGTTACATAGGTATACATGGGCCATGGTGGTTTGCTTCACCTATCAACGAATCATCTAGGTTTTAAGCCCCGCATGCTTTAGGTATTTGTTCTAATGCTCTCCCTCCCCTTGCCCCCACTTGCCCCCAGAGAGGCCCCAATGTGTGATGTTCCCCTCCCTGTGTCCAGGTGTTCTCATTGTTCAACTCCCACTTATTAGTGAGAACATGAGGTGTTTAGTTTTCTGTTCCTGTGTTAGTTTGCTGAGGATGATGGTTTTCAGCTTCATCCATGTCCCCACAAAGGACATGAATTCATTCTTTTTTAGGGCTTCATAGTATCCCATTGTATATATATGCCACATTTCTTTTATCCAGTCTATCATTGATGGGCATTTGAGTTGGTTCCAAGTCTTTGCTATTGTAAATAGTGCTGCAATAAACATACATGTGCATGTGTCTTTATAATAGAATGGTTTATAACCATTTGGGTATATACCTAGTCATGGAATTGCTGGGTCAAATGGTATTTCAAGTTCTAGAAAGCAGCATGGAACTCTAAAACAGATATAATGGAACAGAACAGAGACCTCAGACATAACACCACACATCTACAATCATCTGATCTTTGACAATCTGACAATAAAGAAGGGATTCCCTATTTAATAAATGATGCTGGGAAAATTGGCTAGCCATATGCAGAAAACCGAAACTAGACCTCTTTCTTACACCTTAAACAAAAATTAACTCAAGATGGAATAAAAACTTAAATGTAAAACATAAAACCATAAAAACCTTAGAAGAAAACCTAGGCAATACCATTCAGAACATGGACAAAGACTTCATGACTAAAATATCAAAAGCAATTGCAACAAAAGCCAAAATTGACAAATGGATTCTAATTAAACTAAAGGGCTTCTGCACAGCAAAAGAAACTATCATCAGAGTGAACAGGCAACCTATATAATTTGGGAGAAAAATTTTGCAACCTATCCATCTGACAAAGGGCTAATACCCAGAACCTACAAGGAACTTAAACAAATTTAGAAAAACACAAACGATCCCATCAAAAAGTGGGCAAAGGATATGAACAGACATTTCTCAAAAGAAGACGTTTATGCAACCAACACACCTATGAAAAAAAGCTTATTATCACTGGTCATTACAGAAATGCAAATCAAAACCACAAGGAGATGCCATCTCAAGCCAGTTAGAATGGCGATTATTAAACAACAGGTGCTGGTGAGGCTGTGGAGAAATAGGAACGCTTTTACACTGTTGGTAGGAGTGTAAAGTAAACACTTCAGAGTTTTTTTTAAACAAAAAAATCATGAATTTTTATTTTTGTTTTAATTGACCTTATGAATTATTATACATAAGTGTGTGTAACTTTTGAAAAAAGAAACGAAACATTATCTTAAAACAAAATGAAACTAAGTATAGTGGTCATAAACAATATTAAATTAAAAAATAGTTTCCACAGCAAGCCAGATTGGTCCTAATATGGACTCTCCCCCAAACGAATGAATTGTATCACCGAACTTTCTTGTGCAAGATATTGACCAAACATATCTGCATCAAGTAACACGTGTGTGTGTGTGAGACAGGGTTTCACTTTGTCCCCCAGGCTGTAGTGCAATGGCATGATATGCCTCACTGCAGCCTCAAACTCCCAGGCTCAAGCAATTCTTCCACCTCCGCCTCCCATGTACCTGGAACTACAGGTGCACACCACAGTACCCGGTTATTACTTTTTATTTTTAATTTGTTTCTATAGGTGTGGGTCTCGCTTTGTTGCTGAGGCTGATCTCGAAATTCTGATCTCAAGCAATCTTCCAGCCTCAGCCTCCCGAGTAGCTAGGACTACAGACATTAGTGATAAAACACTAGCTAGTCAGGTGATCATGAGTGACTGATCCAAGTGAACTTCAGCAAGTTTCTTATTTTCTGAGGTTCAGTTTTGGCACAGGTAAAAATGGCAATAATAATACTCGTTTTATAGTATCAATGGAATGATTAAATAAGGTTAGCTCTTAGGATGGTGCTAGCATGGTATTAGATCTTAGGATGGGCATGCAATGAGGAGTAGATACCATGAATGCCATTTATTATATTGCAGTTATGTATAACATGTCACATTACTATAGATGTTAAGATGTTGTAAGTTTGCATTCTAGTAGTAATTGGTGCAATTTGATTAAGTAGCTATATTAATCCCTGCCACCTTAACTGTAAATTAGTCAAATCTGTCTTATTTATTCTAATATTTGCAATATCTAGCATAAGAACAAACCACAAAAGTTGAAGTGAAATAAAATCTAGATGTTTGTAAGACTTTGTTCAAAGTTGAAGATAGGGAGTAAATAATCTCCACTTGTCCATTTCTTGACTTTTTAAAATCAAGCTGTTGAAAAATAGCAATTATTTGTTTGTTATTTCTTAGACTAATATTAATATAAATATCATCTCCCATATATTGAGAGCTTACTATGTTTCAGGCACTATGAAAATCCTTTTACCGATAATATCTTATCTAATCATTTCTATGAGGCTCTCAAACAACCGTGTGAGATAAGTGTCATTATCTCCTGGTTGCAGAAGGATAAACTGAAACTTAAAGGAGCTAAGCAACAAGGAAGTTTCTCTAATCACACAGATAATAGGTGGTAGAATAAGGATATGAACAGAGGTCTTTCTGACAGCAAATCTCCCCACCACTAATCACTATAATTTCAATAACAACTTTTGAAAATAAAACATTAAAAGTAGATTTTACATTTCATGAAATATAAAAATTAAAAGCCATGACACTGCTTTTATAAAGCCAAAGGAGATGCCTGTTTTAATTAGGCATACAATGTAATTTCTGCATTTGGAACTTTCTACCTGAATAAGTTGAAGAGGCATATGGAGGGTAGAGATTTGAAGACCTGCAGAGCAAGTGTTAGAAAATAACAAATATATCCTAGGTAGGAGATTATAACATGTATAAACAATTAAAAATCCCATCATCCCCTTTGTAGAAAAATCTAATGAAAAGCACACATGTTAAAAAACAAAATCAGGGTCGGGCATAGTGGTTCATGCCTGTAATCCCAGCACTTTGGGAGGCCGAGGCAGGTGGATCACCTGAGTTCAGGAGTTCGAGACCAGCCTGGCCAATATGGAAAAACCCCATCGCTACTAAAAATACAAAAAGCTGGGCATGGGGGCACATGCCTGTAATCCCAGCTACTTGGGAGGCTGAGGCAGGAGAATGGCTTTTGAACCTGTGAGGTGGAGGCTGCAGTGAGCCAAGATCGTGCCATTGCACTCCAGCCTGGGCAACAAGAGTGAGATTCATCTTAAAAAAAAAAAAAAAAAAAAAATCACATGACTTATGTATTGGTTTTCTTTTACAAACATGAAACTAAAGTGCTTTATTAATAGGCAATTATGTCAAAATATCAGGATAGTTTCTGTTACAAAATAGAGAACCACTTCACATCCTTTGATTTCCAACACTCTGATCACAATGACAAATCTGAAACTACAAAAGCCAGAGTAGACAGATACTACATAGAGCAAGGTACATCTGATTCCAAGTATTAAAATTTGATGTTAACTTTAGAAAAATCTTTTTATATCTAAGCTATATCAGTAAAGACTTAAAAGGAAGCATATACACTGACGAGGATAAAATTCAAGAGAATCAGGTTTAAAAAATTCAATTTAGAGTTATAAATAAAGCTACCTATAAGAGTAACACAATGTAAAACCAGAACTTAAAATTTACACTAAACAAATAGCAATAATATTCATAATAGGTAATAATTACATAATGCTTACTCTGTACCAGATTTTATATTTAAGTGCTTTTTGGATATTTTACATAAATATTTTATACATGAAACAAACTATTTTTGCTACCATGGATAAATGGAAGGATCTGGCCATCTTAGTTAAATCTTAGAGATGTACAACTATGTATAACTCTTGTGATATTTCACTGGATTTGGTAATGGGTATAGCAATCTTATCTTTTCTTGAAATGATTCTTACATTTTGGATAAAAATACAATTTCAATTCAGCATCTAATTTCTGTAGAACTTACTGTGAGGGGGGAAAAACTGCTAAAATGCAAAAGCAATTGCTTCTTCTACATGACCCTCCCCTGCAAATAACCTCCCTTTACCTCTCAAAGACAGCTATTTATTTAATTTTATTATTATTATTTTTAATTATTTCAGCTTTTATTATAGATTCAAGGCATACATGTGTAGGTTTGTTATGTGGGTATATTGCTTATTGTTGAAGTTTGGGATACAAATGACCCTGCCACCCAGATGGTGAGAACAGCACCCAATAGTGTTTTTTTTTTTTTTTTTTTTTTTTTGAGACAGAGCTTCACTCATGTTACCCAGGCTGGAGTGCAATGGCGCGATCTCGGCTCACCGCAACCTCCGCCTTCTGGGTTCAGGCAATTCTCCTGCCTCAGCCTCCTGAGCAGCTGGGATTACAGGCATGCACCACCATGCCCAGCTAATTTTTTGTATTTTTCGTAGAGATGGGGTTTCACCATGTTGACCAGGATGGTCTCGATCTCTTGACCTCGTGATCCACCCGCCTCGGCCTCCCAAAGTGCTGGGATTACAGGCTTGAGCCACCGCACCTGGCCCCCAATAGTTTTTTGACCCTTGCCCCCTTTCCTTCCTCCCTCCACTAGTCATCTCCAGCGTCTATCTTGCCATCTGTATGTCCACCAGTACTCGATGTTTAGCTCACACTTACAAGTTAGAAAACGCAGTATTTGGGTTTTCGAGGACAGCATTTTAAAGCTGTTTGTATAAATTCTAGCAAAATAGAAAGTAAAAGTACCTGTCCAGCAGGACAAGAATGTGGTCAAATTATAGAAATACAAGCTGCATTTTCAGAATAATATCTCTCTGTGATAAAACTATGTAAACTATTAAAACGGACACTTTAGTAAACATAGAATATAGCTACTAAAAACATGGTTACCTTTGCTAAAAATGTATCACATAAATCATTACCATCATTAAACATTTAGTGGATCCTAATGCTGTAAAATGGAGAAGGTGGAGAGTTTCACATTGATTAATATAATATATAAGTATTTGAAAACAGCCCAGCCTGCTAAAAGGGGAATCCAGAGTTATTTTGCTATTTATCCTCCCTATCTATGCATCAGCCACGTACAAGGAGAATTAATATAACTCCTGGAAAAATTGATACATGATAATTTCCTGTGCCTGGATTAGTATACACATTAATATGAGCAAGAGAGCCAAACTATTTCATAATTGAAGAGTGTCTCTTAGAAAATGAAAATTTAATTTTCTTCTGCTGCCACATTCAATTTCTCAGTGGAAAGGACCTGGAGGCGACATTTTCTAGTGAAATATTGTTGAATTAGGATGTATAATATTTAGTAAGCATTTATTTAGAATTCTATTAAAATACTCCTAAATAACTTTGCATCCTTACAGAATTGAAGCATTTGGAACCACTGCACTTAATTCATGAATTTAACAAGAGAAGCATTAACACTGTACTGAAATTTTCATTTTATCAAAAGGAACTCCTCATAAAATGAAAGAAAAAATACTAAATTAATTGTGAAAGGTCACTAGATGAGGGTTAACGTGCACTGAATGTTTTATAAGTTTAGACCCGATTTACATAGTAATTTAAAATTAATTATTAATGTTCAAAAGTCAATTGTTCTTTGGAATTAAGATACAGTGTTTACATATTTAGTATATAAATGTCACTTATCATATATAAAAAGAGCTCTTGGCTTCATTTGGTAGGTATTTATTGACTACCTCTCCTTAAGAATAGACTTATGGAACATTTCTACATATATGTATTGTCATGGAAAGTTGTGCATATTAAATATCTTAGCCAAAAAGAAGAAAAAATCAACTATTTGGGTTGTGATTGCCTTGACTTTTATATGCAGACAAGAAAATATGTGACTAAATATAGCCATATGCAGAAAACTGAAACTTACACCTTATTAAAAAAACTCAAGATAGATTAAAGATTTAAAAGTAAAACTAAAAACTATAAAAACCCTAGAAAAAAATCTAGGAAGTACTATTCAGGACTTGGACACAGGAAAAGATTTCATGACAAAAACATCAAAAGCAATTGCAGCAAAAGCAAAACTTAACAAATGGGATTTTATTAAATTACAGAGCTTCTGCACAGCAAAAGAAACTATCATCAGGGTGAACAGGCAACCTGCAGAATGGGAGAAAAATTTTAAAATCTAATAAATCCATCTGATAAAGGCCTAATATCCAGAATCTACAAGGAAATTAACAGATTTACAAGAAAAAAAAATCCCATTAAAAAATAGGCAAAAGACATGAACGGACTCTTCTCAAAATAAGACATTTATGTGGCCAACAAACATGAAAAAGAGCTCAACATCACTGATCATTAGAGAAATTCAAATCAAAACCACAGTGAGATACCCTCTCACACCAGTCAGAATGGTGACTATTAAAAAGTCAAGAAACAGCAGATGTTGGCAAGGCTGTGAAGAAATAGAAACCCTTTTACACTGTTGATGGTATGTAAATTAGTTCAACCATTGTGGAAGAGAGTGTGGAGATTTCTCAAAGATCTAGAACCAGAAACACCATTTGACCCAGCAATCCCATTACTGGGTATACACTCAAAGGAATCATTCTATTATAAAGACACAAGCACACATATGTCCACTGGAGCAGTATTCACAATAGCAAAGACATGGAATCAACCCAAATGTCCATCAATTACACACCAGATAAAGAAAATATTGCACATATACCATGGAATGCTATGCAGCCATAAAAAGGAATGAGATCATGTAATTTGCAGGGACATAGATGGAGCTGGGAGCTATTATCCTCAGCAAACTGACACAGGAATAGAAAACCAAACACTGCACGTTCTCACTTATAAGTGGGAGCTGAACAATGAGAATTCAAGGACACAGGAAAGGGAACAACACACCCTGGGGCCTGTCAGGGAGGTGAGGGGAGGGAGCACATTGGGATAAATAGCTAGTGGATGAAAGGCTTAATACTTAGGTAATGAGTTGATAGATGCAGCAAACCACCAAGGCACGTTTACCTATGTAACAAACCTGCACATCCTGCACATATAACCTAGAACTTAAAATAAAATTTTTAAAAAAGAAAATATATGGCTACATATTATTTATGGTTATATATTATGAATATATAAGATGACATATAATAAATTATGACAATATTACATATTATGAATATATTATAAAACAATTTTACAGGCAAAAATTCTGCAGTTCCAAATAGATCTCCTTCACCAACATAAGCAAACTATCAGCTAAGTTTTTAGAAACATTGATATTTACATAAAATATAATCCTTAAATGATAATTCCTAAAATTAGAATAAATATGAATGGGTTAATCAGTTATTAGTAATTCATCTTTAATACTAATATCTTATTTACCACTTTAATGCTCACAGCTTAATCAATCATATTTGAACAATTTTCTTAATATGGAATGCGTTTTAACCGTACTTCCACATACCTATATACATATATATTTAATCTGCTTTTATTGATATGTCTTGTTTTCTAGAGTAAAATTTACATAGTATGTTAATAAACATGTTCTACCAGTTTACTGGCCTAGCTTTCCTACTATGTTTTAAGGTATTCAGGGATAGAATACACATTTTCAGTTCAGTTTCATTTTGCAAACACTTATTATGTTCTTTTTATAAGAAAGAAAACTGGCTCTACTCTAGAAGAACTTAAGAAAACTAGCAATACAAAAAGATAATGTTATTATGAGATGGTAACAAGTAGTAACAGAAAGGTGTGTAAGTGAAGCAAAAGTCAGGGTCACTTGCTTCAGGTTAGTTAATGGGAGGCTTCAGAGAAGAACTGGTGCTAGAGGTGTACCTTGAAGGCTAAGTAACACTACCTTGGGAAAGAAATATGAGGAGGGCATTTTAGGCAAATGCGAGAACATAAATAGAGACTCAGAGACATGAAAATAGCATGATGTATGTGGCATAACCACAAGTACATGGACAGAACCCACTACAACATGCTTGAGGTGGCAAGTTACCAGAGTTGGGGTTAAGAAGGAGATGGCTTTCAGGACATTAAAGGCATTGTGTACATCTTATTCTTTCAGCCACAGGGAGAATTTTGAGCAGAGTTGCATCTTCCTGCTAATTTATGGTTGCATCTCAGCACCTAACACAGTGACTTGTTTGCAGGTCTTCTAGCAATGTCAGAGATGGTTTCTTCTTCAGTTATAATCATCCTTAAGGATTAAGTCATCCTTAATGATTAAGTATTAATGAAATACAGAAGACTGTCAATGCAAATGATATTCAGAGTAAAAAGATAGATAAATTTTCTAAGACAAAGACAAGAACATTGAATTATATTTGAGGCTAGGTCTTGATGAATAGCACTGAATGAACCAATATGTGAGCATGTGTCTATAGGAAGGACCACATGAGTATGAAAGAAATGAATCTGAAAGAATACTAAAAAGAGAAAATCAAAGAAGAAGGAGAAAGAGAAGGAGAAGGAAGAGAAGAAGAACAAGAACAAGAGGAAAGTAGTACAAGAATTACAATTTGAAAGCAGTTCCAAGAGTTGTCTGGGTCAGATTTTCATCGATAGCCCATTGTCCATGCTGTGGGAGGGGTGACACAGGAGCCGCTCACCTGGGCAAGTACACTTCTACTTTTTGCTTCTTCACAGAGTTTGCCCATTCTTCAATCAGCTGTGCTTTGACTAATGGCTCCAGAGTAGCAAGAGGAACTTCCTGTCTGGACAGCACCAGCATCATGCTTATTTCATCTCCTTCATATGGTATTTCTAGGACTTGGTAGATACCACCAGCTTCATTGGAGCCATCACTAAATTCCCCTAAAAAGGAACAAAAGGCCATAAAAGACTCATACCAAAGCTTTTAAAAAAAAGGCTGGGGAGTGAGGGATGAAAGATCACATTATTTGGTACAGTGTACACTGCTCAGGTACAAGTGCACCAAAATCTCAGAAATCACCACTAAAGAATTTTTCTATGTAACTGAAAACTGCATGTTCACCCAAAACTATTGAAATAAAATAAAAAAAAAGAAAAAAGAAAAATAAAAAGGTTTAAATCTGTTATATATGTTTCCTACCAAATCGTATATAGAATATAAAGAAATTAAGGCATCTGATAAAAAGCAGGTTTATTTGAACATAGATCCTAAAATTCAAATGAATTCATAGCCCTGTATAATTTATTTTATTTTAGAATCCACAGAATTATTTCACATCTGTAATAACATGCATTCAAAGCTTGCTTTTTGTTTTTAAATGAGATTATTCACTACAGCTAAAGTGTAGCATTAGAAACAACGAAAAGTCCTGGTTAGAAAAATAAAGCCCTGGCTCTAAGCTGGATGTAAAGCACATTGCTCAATATTCACCTGATTTTTAAGAAGGGAAAATTTGACCATTTAATACCTGGCACTTTATTATCATAAAAACTACAAGTTTTAAAGCAAAGTTTGCAGAGTCAAAATGAAATCAAAGATTGTATAATATTTAGCTGTTATATTTATGAAAATTGATATATCCAAATTAGGTAATTAGGTAAATGAGGTGATTGGCTTTGTTCTCTATGAATTTAGCCAAATTAGCCAAATTAACACACACATATATATATTGTCAAAATGAACTCTTTATATATATAGTATATATAGTTTTATCTACATATACAACCTATATATATAGTTGTAGAGACAGAGTCTTGCTCTGCCACCTAGGCTGGAGTGCAGTAGCAGGATCATAGCTCATTGCAGCCTCGAACTCCTGGGCTCAAGCGATCTTCCTCCCTCAGCCTCCCGAGTAGATAGGACTATAGGTGTGTACCATCATGCCTAGCTAATTAAAATATATGTATTTTTTGTAGTGACAGGGTCTTGTTGTGTTGCCCAAGCTAGATTTAATCCTGCCTTCGAGCAATCCTCCTGCCTCCATCTCCAAAGTACTGGGATTACAGGCATGAGCCATCGCATCTGTCCTGTAATATGCTTTTAAATAGAATAAAACTACTAGTTATAACATATACTTGGCTAAAAATTACCTTTCTGATTTTGACTAACAAATTATTACAAGTCAATGTAGTGGATAAAAAGGACTAATACCCTAAACTTCTGAAAAGTCCAATAAAACATCTTAGAAAATTATGCCAAGGATATTGAATTATATTAAAAATTATAGGCTCTCAATAAATTAAACTATAAACAAACAATTATGTTTGGCCATACATATACAAGTCTAAAATTATTTTTTTAAGTTCTTGTATGAGAAGAATGTTTGTAATTTAAAAAGTGGTACAGAGCCCAAATCAAGTGCTTGGTGGAGCATATGGTTCACGAAGACCCATCCTAAAGCAAATGACTTTTTGGAGTAAATGAGAACATCCTCACACTATGTCAGGTATTTTCAGATGAATAAAGCAACTCTACAGGTGTGATGAACTTATAAATTTGAAAACACATTGGAACCCATCAATGAATATAATATTAACTCAGAAGCTAATTAGAGGGTTTTTAAAATGGAGCCAAGGAAACTGAATTGTAGCCCAAACTAAATTGACAAGGAGTTTGAGTAATGAATAATTACTTCATGTGTTTCTTAGCAATGTGTTGATATACTACAAGAAGAGAAAAATAAAAGAAAAAAATGTCTTACCATAATAAAATTCTCCTTGTTGATACATCATCGGAATTTGGACTTCACTTTCATCATCTTTAGTGAAAGAAAAGGTTCTAGTATTTTCAGGCCTAAACTGTGACTTCCAGTTCCCCTTGAAATAGACAGCACTGATGAGGGCCAGATGAGTGGCAGCATCAAAATCCCTTGGGGATACCAAATCTTTCAACAGATCTATTTTGGAAAAAATGAACAGATAACAATTCATGTTAAACCGGAAGATGAAAGGTAACCACAAGATTTTCAAACCACCATCTGATAGAGTGGTCTACAGAAACTGTACACCAAATTTACAATGAAAATAAAAGGTATCTTACTTTCAAAGGGAAAAGAGTTACACACACACACACACACACACACACACACACACACAGCAATTAAGGGCATTCAAAAAACCCACATTACCTGAAATAATACTAGTAGCATCTTGATACACAAACTACAGAACCACACACAATGTAAGCTTAGACTTAATCTCTTTCTAGTTGCAATGATGCATGTAAAATTCTTAACACAGAGTAAGCACTCAATAAATGCTTCTAAATTTATTCTTTCTTTTTTTTTTGAGACGGAGTTTTTGCTCTTGTTACCCAGGCTGGAGTGCAGTGGTACGTTCTCTGCTCACTGCAAACTCTGCCTCCTGGGTTCAAGTGATTTTCATGCCTCAGCCTCCTGAATAGCTGTGATTACAGGTGTGCACTACCACACTTGGCTAATTTTTGTATTTTCAGAAGAGACCATGTCTCACCATGTCAGGCAGGCTGGTCAGGAACTCCCAGCCTCAAGTGATCCTGCCCACCTTAGCCTCCCAGAGTGCTGGGATTACAGGCGTTGAGCTACCATGCCCAGCCCTAAGTTTATTCTTGAGCAATGTACACGATTAAATGTTATTGATTTCAAATTCTTCCCTGTATATACTGGACATCATTCTGCCAATATATCATCTGCTTTTGGGTAGGTGAAAACAGATACATGAAAGCCAGTTTACATCATGCGTTGGTGTTTATCATCTGAAATATTCCTTTCCAAATCTATTTGAAAAGATATTGGATCTTTGCTGTTTGCTACAAGTGTCTAAAGGAGTTTGAAAACAAATAGGTTGTAATAATTGAAGCTACTTCATATGGATTATCACCCTTAATTTATTCTTTGAATATTAAAAGCCTAAATTTAAGTTTCTTTTATCATACATTTTAATCTCACAGATAAAAACATAAGATGAAAATTTGCTCTGTATTCTCTCATTTGATTAATTATAGCACTTCTTAAGATAAAAGGTGCCTGCATCTTGGAGATTATGGAATATTGAGTATCTGCTCAGGATTACTTTTGTTGTTGTTCCTATGTAAAGTTCAAGATTAACATTATTTGGGTAGATTTGCAAATAAGCTTCATTTAATGAACAGCTTAAAAAATTTACTTTTAATTTAGTCTCAGTTTTCATACTATGATTTCAATATTTTGCTAGTAAAATTGGAAAATAAAATGCTAAAATATGAAACATTTGGGAACCCTAAATACATTTTAGAAACATAAAATAGCAATGAAATTAGAATGAATGCATCTCATTCGAATTCCTCTCCATTTGGGGGGACTTGAAATAAGCTGCTCTTTTGAAAATTAATCATATACTTTTTTTTTAATTGCCAATGAAGGTCTTTGATTCAAAAGCCAACAAACATCTATAAACTCTGATTTTTAACTCTTTCTTACTCTATTTTAATCACAATGTTAAGAGCCAACTGGCATTCTATCCAGTAACTAATTTATTAAATAGGACAAGCAAAACTCCATAAAGTGGTTAGGTTTACAGAGGAAACCCATCAGTCAGAGAGTACAGACTTCAGATTCTCACTCCCATATTCTATACATGCCAAAAGATTTAACTTTATTCTCAAACATTCATTCATAACAATGTTTCTCAAATAGACCATAATCTATACAAAATAATTATTAGATACCCAACCAAATGCTCTCTAACACTCAAAATGCAAAAGAATCAAGGGGGCAAATACTTTCAGAAGTTAAAGACAGTTAAAACTAAGCTATTAGAGGAAGAAAGGAACCAGGTGACGTACTATTTGTGTTATTCTCCACCCACTTATTGATGTGGTTGGCCACAGCTACATTTTGACTGAAGTCCACATGATTTACTTCTGCATTAAAATATTTTTTCAGCATTTGCAAAAACTCCTCATTGACATGAAATCCATTTTGCACAAAGAGGGAATTGGCAATTTTCATCACATACTGGCTCTCTTTAGTGGTTACCATGTTAGAAAACTCCTTTAAGACAGAAAATTCTTCACCTGCAAGATGAGAAAGGACAAGCATATTTGCAGAACAAACTGGTAAAAGGTCAAGAAAAGTGGAGGAGCATTAAAATACAGCAAGGGAGGTTAACGGAACAGGCACCCAGGGAAAAGTGCCAGGCTTTTCCCCCACATTGATATGGTCCAATACTTATACTATTTCTAGATGTTCAAATTAACTTTTTGCAAGTTAATATCATGGACTGATATTATTTTTTATTTTGTTGTTATTTTGGTACAATTTATAGAGATTGTTTCAATTGCTTTATTTCAAACTACTAGGTTATTTTGATTAGACTTCTTTTACTTTATTAGAAAAAAGGATCTAGTTAAAAAATCAAGATCATCCTTTTTACTCAGTAGACCTTTTAATTTTAAAACTAGAAAAGCCATTAGAAATTATTTTAATTTTTAAATGAGAGAATTCACATGTATATTAAAGCATTTAAATAGAAATCAAACATTATGTCAAAGTGATTACAAAATATCATTTGGCTAGAAATTTCCCCCACTACACAGAATTGCTATAATAAGACAGCACGTCAAAAAAATTCTTGGATGCTATTTAAACAAGGAAGATACAGTTGATTTTAAGCAAAACTTTCTGATATTCTTAGCGAACCATGCTCTTTCTTTGTAGTACTCATCGGATTTGTAATTTTTCATTTATTTGTGTGATAAATATGTGCCTTTCCCTCTAGACTGAAAACTCCAGAATAATGTTCGCTTTTTAGAATTACAATGAATTGGTGTAAATCATAATAATTTTTAAAAGAAGTAATTTCCTTAGATTCACTCGGCCAGAAATAGAGCCAGGAATTAACACATTTCTTGGGTTTCCTAATCCTTCTAGCCATACCATTTCAATGAGATTATCTTTTACCCTGTGTAAATATTGCTGCATATGGAATAAGAAGACAACATAACTGAGTCAAAGTCAAATTCAAAAGCCTTGAGAAATCAAACCTGATCACACTTACCATTTTTCAGGCTGTCATATCCCATTGAGTGCCGGATTTCTTTCTGGGTAGACCCTTGGGCCCCAAGTTCCATCATTCCCATTGCAAGAGCAATACTCAATGGAGAGAAGAGAATATTTTCATCTTCACCAGTGGCTCTAAGACGATTATACATATTCACTGACAAGTCAGCAATGGCTTCATCCGGGAGAGTGGCCCCTACAGCCATACTTTGCAGCAACAGCAGAGAGAAGAGTCCAAGGAAAGCCATATTGTAATAGTTACAAGCCTAAAAAGCAATCATTTACATATTAATTATTAGTTATCTCTGTAACAAAAGAAACATATCTCATGAAAGGATATGTTGGAAGGTGCTATTTTTAAAACTCCATTAATAGTCAAATGAACAAATAACACTGCTAAGTTCTGAGGATTCTCCCAGAAACATGATAGCCATGGTCCCTACCTTCACGGGGTTAAGAGTATATAGAGTTACTTATACAACAAGTAACCCCAAGTCACGTTTGGTGAAGCTAGTTTATCAGTTTTTCACAGCCTCGCCAAATATAGTTTGATCATGACTTTGAATGGACTTACTCTAGCTTCCATCAAACTACATAGGTCTAGGACAACTACAATGAAAACCAAAAGGTATTTACAGGGCTTAAGATGAACTAGCACAGCTAAGCATTTGAAAATGTCACTTTACCCATTTATATAATAAATGCATATTGCAGCTGGGTTACCAACTGGTGAGCAGAGATCAGACATATACCTTCCTCAAATCCCAGTTTATTCATTCCAGGTGGCAGAGCCCACAGGAAGTGGCAACCCAGAGAAGGAGCACACTCAGAACATCCTGTGTGATTGTTCCTTACATAATGGTTCTTATGAGGCTGCTGTTCTCCCAGTGACAATCTTTGGGCAGGGAGGAGCTCCCTACCAAAGTGGAGAATGAAGCTGAATTCTTGCTATAACACAGTGCATTTATATTCAGGCTTATGTTACCATTTCAGCAAACACCAAACAAACTGGCATTTCTATTTAAATTAATATTTCTAATTATCAGGCTCATCAGGTTCTTGAACCAAATTAAAGGGCACCAAGGCCACATTTTCTTTTGAAGAAAAAAAGCACCATCAGTGCCCAGAATCTCTGAATAATATCTCTGCTTCTTTGCATGCCAGTATTTCAGAAGCCCTGTCTTCCCACAAACAGCCTGACTTAAATACACTAGGGGACAGGATTTCCAATTTCCTTTGTATTCTCCAATTTTGTCACTGCAGACATTTGGAAAATGAAACTGTTTATTCACACAGTTAAGTAACTTACTTGTTCATGATCATTTAAAAACATTACTAAAACAACATGTAAAGTAATATTGAGCAAATACATTTGGAAAATCATATTTTAATTATGGGTGAGCATTAATAGTCTACATTACTCAATTAACAGAGTACATACACTCTTAACTGAAGAGCAGAGTGATTCCAACAGGCTTATGAATCAGAAGATCCTAATCAGTCCTGAAACATTAATTTGTAACTCCAATTTCAGAAAACTCCCTACTGACTTTGTAAGTCCTTCACATTTTAATGTTAGTAGCATCAGGTTTTTTTGTCTGAAAAGTTCCAAAGTCCTCTGCCCTCACCCCTTCACCTTCCTGCATTTGTATTCAAGTAAATAAATAGTTATTGCTTGTTTAGGAAAGTAAGTCTCAGCCTCTTTGTAAATATGGACTCTCACCACCTCCACTGCTAATGGGATGACTGCTAATGGGAGATGGAGTGCACTGCTGCAGGGCAGGCTCTGTCACTCATGCAGCCTTGGGATAAAGCCAGGTGCCAAGAGCACAGCAGCCCTGCCAGTCTACAGATTTCAGCCACCTCTGGGAGGCTGCCACTGCTCTGGCATTCTTACTTCCTTTTGTACTCCAGAGAAATCCAGGAAAAGGCAGAGGCTTTACCTGTGGTGATGCATGCGACAGTTTAAACAAACCTACTGCACTGCAAATTGTATAAAAGTATAGCACGATTACATACAATACACAATACCTGATACTAAATGACTGTGTTACTGGTTTATGTATTTACTATACCATACTTCTTATCATTAAGAAAAAAAGCTAACTATTAAACAGCCTCAGGTTGGTCCTTCAGGAGGTATTCCAGAAGAAGGCATTGTTATCACAGGAGATGACAGCTCGGTGGGTGTTATTGCCTCTGAAGACCATCGAGTGGGATAAGATACAGAGGGGGAAGGCAGTGATATTGATTATCCTGATCATGTGTAGGCCTGGGCAAATGTATGTATTTGTGTTTTAGCTTTTAAAAAGTTTAAAAAGTAAAAATATAAAAATACAAAGTAGAAAATTAGAAAAAAGCTTATAGAATAAGGATATAAAGAAAATGCTTTTGTACAGCTGTACGATGTGTCTGTGCTTTAAGCTAAGCGTCGTTACACACTTACACACTTACTGAATGCAGCTTGCAAGGGTTGAAGTTCCTTGGGTAAGTGAGTAAGTGAGAGGTAAGTGAAGGTGACACCTAGGACATTGCTGTACACTACTGGAGCTGGACCCGGTGGCAGTACAAAACACTCAAAAAGTTTTTTAAACATTTAAAACTTTATAAAGTAAAAAAGTTACAGTAAGTGAATGTTAATTTATTACTGAAGAAAGAAGAAAAATATTTTTAATAAATTTTGTGTAGCCAGAGTGCACAGTGTTTAAAAATTCTACTTTAACACTCAGTAATGTCCTAGGCAGCACATTCACTGGCCACCCACTCACTGATTTACCCAGAGAACTTCTGCCTGTGCAAGCTCATTCATGGTAAGTGTCCTTTACAGACAGGCATATCCTATTTTATCTTCTCCAAGTCTTTTTTTTTTTTTTTTTTTTGATTAGTTTTGTTCTTGTTGCCCAGGCTGGAGTGCAATGACACAATCTTGGCTCATGGCAACTTATGCCTCCTGGGGTCAAGAGATTCTCCTGCCTCAGCCTCCTGAGTAGCTGGGATTATAGGTGTGTGTCAACATGCCCAGCTAATTTTTGTATTTTTAGTAGAGACAGGGTTTCACCATGTTGGCCGGGTTGGTCTCGAACTCCTGACCTCAAGCAATCCACCCGCCTTGGCCTCCCAAAGTGCTGGGATTAGAGGTGTGAGCCACCCTGCCCGGCTTGTCCTCTCCAAGTCTTATACCTTATCCCACTTATCCAAGGACTGGAAAGGCAGGTTATCTAGGTATCTATACTTTCTAAGTTAAACAACAGGCTATCGAGCCAAAATCAGTATTTTATCTTTGATATGGTTTGGCTATGTACCCACCCAAAATCTCATCTTGAATTGTATTCCCTGTAATCCCCAATCTGGTCAAGAGAGAGACCGGGTGGAGGAAATTGGGTCATAAGGGCAGGTTCCCCCATGCTCTTCTGGTAATAGTGAGTTTCACAAGATCTGATGGTTTTATAAGCCCCTGTGATTTCTCCTGCTTGCACTCTCTCTGTCCTCCTGCCCTGCGAAGAAGGTGCCTGCTTCTCCTTTGCCTTCCACGTTTTCTGAGGCCCCCTCAGCAATGTGGAACTGTGAGTCAATTAAACCTCTTTCCTTCCTAAATTATCCAGTCTCAGGTATTTCGTCATAGCGGTGTGAGAACAGGCTAACACAATCATCTCCGTTGCCCATCTAATGTGGCAACATTAGCCATTCATTCAGCCAAGACTGACAGAGGTTCCATGAAGATATCAAAATTTATACGGATAGGCTCTTGTCCTCAAGGAACTCACATCATTTTGCAAGAGTTTACAATTAGTATTACAGTGGCTCTTTAAGAAAATAGATCTTTTTAAGAATGAGGAGAAGAATAAATCATCCCTTCAGGAAAATACATGCACATGGATAACAGAAAATTATATCCACTGGCTAGAATATTCACTGACCTCAGGTAAAGAACCTCTGGTTAACAGCGGATAGTCAGACAGAGAAAAAAGCAGTGTTAGATCGACTTGCAGCTCTGCAGGTTTTTCTTACTAGGGAAAATGAGACGTCAAAACCATGATGCATCTTTGGGCTTCTAAACTCCTGGAAAGAGCTCCCATTATGTTTGTGGGAGAGGGCTCTGCCAGGGCAGTGGGCAGCAGGCCACTGATGACACATTCTGCCAAGAAATTTGGACCACATGGCTGTGAATTGTGGGAGCAGGCCATGTCAGGGAACTCTTTCAGCAAGTTGAAAGAACTCTGCTCTAGAAACACACGTGTCTATCCACAGTTAAGTGATCTTTCTTCCTCTTGAAGCAAGACGTCCCGCTTGCAAGCAAAATTACTCCTGCTAGCCTGCTCTAGCCTCCCTGCTGCTGGTTGCTGGTTGCTAGCTTCTTTCTCCACCTCTGTTGCCTCTATCTACTCCTGAGTATTGGGTAATTATATTTAGTTTCTAGGTTTTGGCTGGGTGGGGGTTGGAGGGAGTGCTTTCCTTGTTCTACATTCTAAGTGCTGATATTCTCCCCGGATCTAGTCCAGGCCCTTCTCTCTTCTTGATAGTACATTTCTCATGCCCACTGGTGAACTCTCAAAACAAAGATACTTCAACTATTATATCTATTGAGATTATTCCCAAATAAGTAAAATTCTAGCTCTGGCTTCATTTTTATCTTAATTTCTGATATGCATTGGTAATTTTTATTGGTATATTTATTTGTTGATGCCTGCCAGCACTTTGAATTCAATGAGGCTCAAACATGACTCTTTATCAATCAAACCTACTCTTTCTTCTTACGACGTCAAAGCCTTTGACTCCCCTCCACCTCTTTTCTCCTCATGTTCAATTCATTGTCAAACACTCATTCCATATTGCATCCTGGCATCTCTCCTGTTGATCATCCCATGGCCATTCCCATGGCCACAATGACAGTTCTTTTTCTCCATGCATCTCAAGGGCTACACCAATGTTTCTGGTTCTCAGCCACTCTCTGAACTGCTGGTTATTGCCCTCTTCAATACAGCATATGCTGAGCCTCCTGTTCAGTTGTCTTGATACACCCTATGACCAGGTTATTCCTATGTTTACAAAACCTCAGGAGTTCCCTCATCCCTGTAGACCAAAGCCCAAAATCTTTGGTCTTGAACATAACACAACCTTTGTACTGTGACCCAGCATAAGTTTCTACTTACTACTTCCCTTCATGGATCCTGTAACTCTAGCCAGAATCCCTTTTGCAACAGATACACCAGAATTTTCCTCTCTTGTTACTGGTTTGTGTAGTTCTCTTTCTGAAACGAACCTAGCC